ACTTTGGATTGTTGAAAAGTTGAAACTTTATGGATACCTTTCTTGAAAGATGTGATGTTTCCATGGAATTTTATTAAAATTTGGCTAATCACTTTGTCAAACTTTTGAATTCAGACCTTCCCAGAAGTTTCATAAAAATAAAATAAAAAGGTTAACAGGTGAAACGAGTGACCTGTTAGCTTAACGGGTTGGGTTCGGGTGATCCGTTAACTTAACCAGTCGGGTTGAACCCGACCCAAACCCAATACACCCGACCAGTTTACCGGTCTATCCCTAAGTCACTCTTTCTAACCACCTTAACAGCTAACAATTTGTAACTAATTCTTGTTTGTCCTAGTCAGCAATTGCCAACTCACCACTACAATTCCCAGACCAAATGTCACAATACACAATCACCTATCAATACCCCTTCCTTCAAAACAAGGCTTGTCATACAAGACTAAAGCACAACAGTAACACAACTCAATATGAATGCAATACATCATAACTGGGACACCATAGGAAATCAAGGCTGGAGCATGATTCTTCCATTAAACTAATACCTCAGTTGCTGCAGTAGTCCCTTACTTGACTAACCTCCGCTCCAATATTGCTACTAGAACTTATTGCAATATTCCGGCATTGGTGATGACCGGTAACTAGACAGTAGGTTGAATGTTAGGACCCAGGTGCTTCTTAAGGCAGGAAACATGAAAGATTGGGTGTAACTTCGAACTCTCTGGTAATCTAAGTTTATAAGCAACTGCTCTAACCTTAACCAACACTTCATATGGTCCATAGAATCGAGGCTGAAGCTTGTGAAATGGATGTGAAGCCAAGGATAAATGCTAATATGGAACCAGTCTCAAATACACCAAGTCAACCACTTGGAAGACCCTTTCAGTTCTGTGTTTGTTAGCTTGAACAATCATTCTATTCTGAGCATCCATCAAATTTTCCTTTAAAAGAGATAAGATTATGTTTCTCTCCTGCAAACACCTATCAACCAGATCAAGTTTTATAGTACCAGCCTCATAAACTGGAATTTCATGTGGTGGTTGCCCATAAACCACCTCATAGGGACAGAGCTTAGTGGCAGAGTGGAAGGTAGTGCAGTAACTATACTCTGCACACGGTAACCAAGTCAACCACTTCTTGGGCTGTAGGCTGCAAAAGCACCTCAAATACATTTCCAAACACCTATTAACCACCTCCGTTTGCACATCTGTCTGTGGATGATAACCTGAGCTAAAACACAAATTGAACCTTGTAATGCAAAAAATTCCTTCCAAAATTTTCTCATAAAGATGGGATCTCTATCTGGCATTATTGAAGTAGGCATGCCATGGAGATTAAAGATGTGCTCATAAAGATTTGCCATCGAAACAGCCATGTAAGGATGGGAAAGGGCAAGAAAGTGAGTATACTTGGACAACCTATCTACAACTACCCAAATTACAGATTTACCTTTGCAAGGTGGTTACCCCACTATAAAGTCCATTGAAATGTCTTTCCACACTCGAGAAGGAATCGGCAAGAGCCAATGTTTCATATTTTTGTTGTTGACAAGTTGTACAATTGGATACAAACTCCTTGATATCCTGTTTCATGTCAACCCAATAAAAAGATCGAGTTAGGCTTTTATAGGTTTTAAGGAATCCAGCATGGCCAGTAATAGCAATACAATGATGTTCTTCAAAGACCTTATGCCTCCATGCACAAGTGGGACTCAAAACTATTCTGCCTTTATATCTCAAGAATCTTTTGTCGAACTTGTAATTCAAGGTACTAATTAAAGTTGAATCAGTACACTGCAATACTTCCTGAACTTTGGTTTGAATCCAAGTATCCTGCTCCAAATCCCTCCATAAGTTATCCATCCAACTGAGATAAGGATAGGAAATAGCATTATGTTCCATTGCCCAGGTTTAGGTGGTACTGTCAATAGGTAAGCGAGAAAGGGCATCAACCACTTGATTATCACAACCCTATTTGTATTGGATTTCATAATCGAAACCCAATAACTTGGACACTCATTTTTGTTGAACTGGAGTGTGAGCTCGATTTTGCAAAAAATATTTGAGGCTATGATGGTTCGTTTTAATCACAAAGTGTCTCCTTACCAAATAAGACTGCCACTTCTTCACTGCATGAATAATTGCCATCATCTCTCTCATGTGCATATAGGGACTGATTTCGTGGACTAAAGGCCTTACTAGTAAAAGCTATAGGTAGTCCATTCTGTTGTAGTACATATTGAGTAAAATCTGGAAGTGCCAATATTTGTGGAGAAAGCATGGCTATTTTTAATTCATTGAATGCAATGGTAGCTGTTGGTGTCCAATGAAAGTTGTCCTTCTTTGTTAAAACTGTTAGGGGGCTAATAATCTTCCCAAACCCGGAATAAACATCCTATTGTCACATCCTGGCCTAGGCCTCTACCATATCCCGGGCTCGACTCCATCCTAGCACGATATTGTCCGCTTTGGGCCCTGACCACGCCCTTACAGTTTTGTTTCTGGGAACTCACGCGAGCAGAACTTCCCAATGGGTCACCCATCCTGGGAATGCTCTGGCCCCTTTCTGGCTTAACTTTGGAGTTCATATGGAACCCGAAGCCAGTGAACTCCCAAAAGGCCTTGTGTTAAGTAGAGAAGAGAATATACATATACGGCTTACAAGATCCACTCCCCTAGGCGATGTGGGATGTTACAATCCACCCCCCTTAGGGGCCCGGCGTCCTCGTTGGCACACTTCCGACCAGGAATTGGCTCTGATACCAAATTGTCACATTCCGGCCCATGCCCCCACCACATCTCGAGCTCGACTCCACCGTAACACGATATTGTCTGATTTGGGCATCGACCACGCCCTTAAGGTTTTGTTCTGGGAACTCACGCGAGTAGAACTTCCCAATGGGTCACACATCCTGGTAATGCTCTAGCCCCTTTCTCGCTTAACTTCGAAGTTCCTACGGAACCCGAAACCAGTGAACTGCCAAAATGACTCGTGTTAGGTAAAGATGAGAATATACATATAAGGCTTACAGGATCCACTCCCCTGGGCAATGTGGAATGTTACAATACACCTCCCTTAGAGGCCCGACGTCCTCGTCGGCACACTTCTGGCCAGGAATTGGCTCTGATACCAAATTGTAACATCCCAGCCAGGGCCCCATCACATCTCGAGCTCAACTCCACCGTAGCACAATATTGTTCGTTTTGGGCTCCAACCACGCCCTCACGGTTTTGTTTCTAGGAACTCACGCAAGCAGAACTTCCCAATAGGTCACCCATCCTGGGAATGTTCTGGCCCCTTTCTCGCTTAACTTCGAAGTTCCTACAGAACCCGAAACCAGTAAGCACCCAAAAGGCCTCATGTTAGGTAGAGATGGGAATATACATATAAGGCTTACAGGATCCACTCCCCTGGGCGATATCGAATGTTACACATATAGTATCTATTTAATCCAAGAAATCCTCGAAGTGCCTTCACTGATGTAAGTACGGGCCAGTTTGCAATAGCTTCTAACTTACAAGGATCAGCTGCTACTCCATTTTTTGAAATAATGTGACCGAGATACTCGATTGTAGATTGACCAAAAGTACATTTGGATTTCTTCACAAACAAGGTATGATCTTTTAGCAACTGAAACACCACTCAAAGATGAGCCAAGTGAGATTCCTAAAAGCTGATATACACCAAAATATCGTCGAATAAGACTAAAATAAACTAACGAAGATGTGATCGAAAAATCTCATTCATGAGACACTAAAATGTTGTTGGGGCATTGGTTAAGCCAAAAAGCATCACCAAGAACTCGTAATGTCCATCGTGTGTTCGGAAAGCTATCTTCTCAATGTCATTTGGATGCATTCTAATTTGGTGATATCCAAATCGTAGATCAAGTTTGGAAAAGAACTGAGCCCCAAATAATTCATCAAGTAACTCCTCAATTAATGGAATAGGGAACTTATCTTTTATTGTAATCAAGTTAAGTCCTCTATAATCCATACACATTCGCCACCTACCCTTCTTTTTCTTGACTAAAATGACTGGGGAAGAATACGGGTTATTACTAACTCTGATATATCCAGCATCCAATAGTTCATGCACATATTTCTCAACCTCTATCTTCTGTAAAGGTCCATACATGTATGGCCTCATACTCGATGGCTTACTACCTTCTAACAATGGAATTCATTGATCATGGGACCAATGAAGGCGTAAAGTGATTGGAGTACTAAAAACCTCTTCAAATTCCTATAAAAGATTCTTGCTACAAAAGTTTCTCTATTTAGAAGATAGAGACATCTTGAATGTCCTCACTAGGAGTTTGAGGACTAGAGAGACAATAGGTAGAATTACCTTGCTTGAACTTCATATACATTTTATCAAAGTCCCATAGTACGGGTCCAAGTGTTCGTAACCACTGAATTCCCAAAACAATATCACAACCCCCAATCACCATAGCATACAAATCAGTGCCACAATGGTAATCCTAAATTTTCAAAGAAACTACACCTAATAGTGTTTACTTTCCCACCATCAGCAATCTTAACACTAAAAGAGTGAGATGTGTCCAAATGCCCCTTAATCTTTTTCACCAAAGAAGAATCAATAAAGTTGTGTGAACTCCCGGAATCGATGAGAATTACCACTAGGCAACTTTTAATAGAGCCTAACACTTCCATAGTCTTGATGGATTTAGGTCCATGAGTGCCAAAAATGGCACAAGAAGTGATTTTAGGCTCTAAGTTCTCATCCTCAAAAGTATCGGTATCACACAAAGGTTGCACATCAATGAGCAATAATTGTTTCTTCTCACAAGTATGCCCTTTAGAATACTTCTCCTTACAGTGAAAACATAACCCATTTTTCCTACAGTATTCAACTTCTTTAGGAGTTAATTTCCTAGCATTCTCATGTTTCAATTTGTTATCCCTTATATGCACATTACCCACATTTTGTAAAGGAGGTCAAATTGCAGAAGTACCAAAAGAACGAGAGAAAGGCTTAACCTTTAAATCCAAAAGCTTGGCATAAATCTGCTGTGCATAAGCCTGGCTTCAAGAACGTTTATTGGCTTCAAGATCTTGACATCATGGCGTAATTCAGCTTTAAGGCCGCCAATGAAACAAGATTTTAGCAAGGAGAGATATCAAATGTTCGATTTTCCAAACGCCTGAATTCCAGAATGTAGTCCCGTAATGTCCTTGATTGTCTCCATTTGACCAGACTTTCTGCTGAATCTTCGAATTCTGATGATCCGAACTCTTGACACAAAGCTGATGTGAATTCCTCCCAGGTAGGGTAATTGACTACACAATTCGCCTATTGGAACCACTGAAGGGGTTCGCCTTCCAAATGGAAAGAAACCATCTTGACTTTCTTAGAATTGTCGATGTGGAAGAAATCGAAATAGTGTTCGGGCTTATAGATACACGACAGGGGTTCATCACCATCACCAAAATGGGGAAAATCTATTTTGATAAATGAGGAACATTGATTTGAAGGTTGCGAATGCGGATCGGGGCGATCGAAAGTGGGTGGAAAATTAGGGTTCATACCCAGTGCAAAAATTGGGATCGGAACGTGTTGTGTCAGAGGATTCGCCATTCGATCCACTACCTTTCACTGACAAGGATTGGATTTGTTGCAGGAGTAACTCATTCGCAGCTCAAGATTCCGATCGCAATTCATGGACTTCCTGCTTGAATTCTTCAAACAAAGTTTCCAGCTTGTAGACGCGCGACTCCATTGGTCGTTTGGAAGCAGCATGAGGCATACACGAGAAAGATCGAGCAAGATCGAGGACACTGGCTGATACCAATGATACGGTCCTGCACTCTGCTCTACTCAAATGTATGGTGGAAGATGTATTTTCTTATTCAATATCAACAATTATAACAACTTCCTTCTTACAGTTTTCCCTTTTTATAGTAGCCATGAGGCTTCTCCCCTAAGTCACTCTTTCTAACCACCTTAACAGCTAACAATTTGTAACTAATTCTTGTTTGTCCTAGTCAGCAATTTCCAACTCATCACTACAATTCCCGCCCAAATGTCACAATACACAATCACCTATCAGTGGCTAGATTTAGTTTGAAATGATGTAAGGGAGAGAAGCTCCCTCCTTTCTCTCTAATGGCAACAAATACCACACTCTCATGTGTGCGTGGATGAATCAATGTGATGACGCAGTTATGTTAGACATTACTCTGCAATATTCCCCTTCTTCTTCTTCTTTCTCAGAAAAACTGAACACCGAGGTTGCATCGCTGAACACAGAAAACCATCCCAAAATTCAATCTAAAATCACCAAACTCTAACACTATGGCTTACATATTCATTCCCATTCCAGAACAGTAAAAGAAAAGACTCGGCGTGCATTTTCTGTTTCTAGGAAAAATCAAGACTAAGGACTAATGCAAAGTTGCGAACCAAGTCATAACGGGACATGAATAGAGTAGGCATATGTGTGAGACTAGTACTAGCTAGGGTTTATATATATATATATATGAGTTTAACTATAATTTCTAAAAACTTACCCGATCATCAAGCGTTACTGAATCTTCAACACTCTACGAACACTGCCTCTTTCCACTAACATTTTCTAACAACTCTCCAAAGATTAATATCCGATTTCTCATAGAAATTAAATTAAGCAGTAGTGGTGATCACATAAGGTTTAGTACTTGAACGAAAACATGTGCAATATATACTTACTATTTTCCAACGACCTTGTTGGCATATTTATGAGACAAGAAGAACCAAAAGTAAGGACTGATTAATGAAAAATATCAGAAAACTATTCCTCTGTAGGCCTTCGGCTCCCACATTACCCATAGAAAAGAGCACAATCCAACATTATATTGAAATTGAGAAATTCTTACACGGTTTTTAGTTTAGAGAAAGGAAACACTAATGAGCCATTATCGAGCTTCTGGCATACTAATGGTGACTGCATTATTGGAAAAAGTTGTCGAATTTTGAGAAAAAGAAGAAGAGCCAACATGACTGGACTTCCTCGGCATTGAAAAAGCAGGTTCTTTGATGGGTGGAAGTGATGTAGCTTCATTGTTCAGCATAAAAACTACAGAAGACATTGTTGGTCGATCAGCTGGAGCTTCTTGGACACACAAAATCCCTACATGGATACACTTCAGAGCTTCATCCAGACGGCATGTTTCCCTTACTGACTCATCAATCACCTCCATTCCTCTACCTTCTTTCCATAACTCCCATGCCTAATTTTAACATATAAACAAACCCATCAATCATGCATGAGTCCATTCACTTTCTTGAGATTGAATCAAATCTGAAAAACATTACTTACCCATCCAGCAAGACTAAGCAGCTGTTCAAGACGATGAAAAGCAGAATTCCTCTTTCCACTTACAATCTCTAAGAGCAACACTCCAAAGCTAAACACATCCAGTTTCTCTGAAAAATGGCCGTAAAGTGCATACTCAGGTGACATGTAGCCGCTGCATGAATCCAAGGTAGAGAAGTCAGCAACAAGCAAGTAATTGCATAAGGTTTACATATGAAGGAAAGCACTTACTATGTTCCAACAACCCTGTTTGTATTTGCCTCAGTTTGATCCATCCCGAAAATTTTTGCCATCCCGAAGTCTGAAATTTTGGGGTTCATTGTTCCATCCAACAGAACATTGCTTGTTTTTAGGTCCCTGTGAATGATTTTCAACCTGGAGTACTTGTGGATATAAAGTACTCCTTGAGCAACACCTTCTATAATTCGAAAGCGTGTACCCCAATCCAGTTTTGTATTTTCGGATGAATCTGATTGCACAAACCATGAAGAAGAATGATTTTAATGTTGTAAAAAGGTAATAAAAATGTGATCCCATGGAAGTCAACAATATGAAAGAATTAATGGTAGTAGTGATGAGCATATACCAAACAAGAATTTGTCCAAACTTCTATTGGGCATGAACTCGTATATCAATATAATTTCCTCCTCTTCAATGCAGCAACCCAAGAGCCTAACGAGATTGGTATGTTGGAGCTTGGCTATAAGCTTTAACTCCTTCATGAACTCCTGATGTCCTTGCCCTGACTTCCTTGACAGCCTTTTTATCGCTACTTCTTCATTTTCAGTCAAAATCCCCTGTAGAGGATGAAAAATTCCAGAATAAGAGAGCTGCTAGACTCCTTAACTAGGAAAATTTGGGACATTGTTAAGAAATATACAAAAG